AGTCATGCAGGAATCATTACTCTAAAAATAAAAAAGCCTTGTCATTTCACTAAAAATCATACTGAACACAAACTGAAGGTCTGCATTTTAACCAAACACTTCTACATCTACTGCATAACAATCCTCTATACAATCCTGACAAATTAGTATCCAGAGACACACCACTATATATATATATATAGTCTTCATTGTGAAGAGAAATTGACTGTGACTATTTGAATTTGATTCTCTCCGTCTCTTTTTATATTAAGCAAAAGTGTTGTATAAGTTAATGGTGAATGAGATTTTACTTGCTTCTTTGATAAATGGGGTTAATTTATTTTTAGTTTTATTTTGCATGCTCAGAATATATCATAGGTGTGTTTAGGTGGCTAAGCAGTTGATGAATGTTAAGGTATATCAGATACATATTAAGAATAATAAATTAGGTACCACTGTGTATGCCATGAAGCAAGGATCATAACTAATATGCTACTTCTTTTTTTGCTGTTTGTTTTTTTATTGTGTTTTCAATGGAGAAATACATCATCTGTTTACAAAATAGCTCTTGAAAAATACAAGGAGTACAGATACTATAAAACAAAGCAAACTTCAGTCATGAGACACTACTTACATCATGCGAAAGCAACAGTCTGATCTCCAGGTTATGAAAACTAGAATTAAAAAGTCACTACTCAGGAAAGATCCATGTCTCCAGCCTGGTGAAACTTGGAAGCAGTTACATGGAACATTTATTAAACTGAATTTTTCCCCAATGTGTAAACAAAACGACAAGACTAATTCTGTGCCTGGTGATGTCATTCTAACTCTGGCTACACACATGGACACTGTTACATGTCACCTGTTAGCACACCGTCCTCTTTACTCAAGTGGTTGAAGGAAGGGCAAGGTGACTGCAGAGCAAAAGGTGGAGAGTATAAATACTGTTTATAAACAATGTAAGTGGTAAAAATAAAGCCTTAATTAATGCATAGCTTAAGAAGAAAGACTATTCTCCAACTTTGGAAATTAATTGAGAAGGACAGGGAAGAGTTTAAGTAATTGCAGTTTAACATGAGAATGCTCAAACGTGTGATAGAATGCAGCGAGACAGAGGATTTAAAAACCTATGCTCACATAAAGATCTGCTGCTACTGGTTTGCTTTTTCCAGATTAACAAAGAATAATTTTATCAACATCTGGCATCCCTCAGACGTCACAAAGATGGACAAGAATTCTGCTACTTAATTATAAGAAATTATTGTCTTTAAATGAGGTTTCTAATTTTTTGATAGAACAAAAAAATTCAAAAGTGGAGAGCTGACTAAAAGTCAAGTGCTTGCTAGAAATGATTTTTAAAATGTTTCTGTATGTAAAATTCACTGACAAATTTTGATAAACTGGTTAAAAATAAAAATTACTTTAAAAATCTGGAAGAAAATGCCTTTTTGTCTACTTTTAAAATTGTAAATCAATTTGTCAAAGACAGAGTTCTGTGGACTGTACAAAAATCATCTTAAGGATCAAATGGCAGTCCTTGCGAGATGCTTCACAGGTATCCTTTCAGTCATTCTCAAGTTCCAGCCATGGGAACAAAGGTAGTGTTCTGTGCCATGTAGCTAAAGGGTCACCAGTTTCACGTCAAAGCTTAGGAAAATACTGGCATTCTGGTTTCTGCGAACAACCCTTACCTTATGTATACAAGCAAAGGGGGAAAAAGAAAGGCAAAAGGGGGATGAGGAAGCGCTTTCGTTGTTTTGAAGAGAAGAAACTAAAGGCAAAACAGAGCTCCAGAAAGGTCAAGGAACAGACTGTTGACAGACTGATGATCTGTATGCACTATAAAACACCTCTATAAATAAAAGGAATATATATTTGTTAAAAATAACCCCATCAAAGCCAAATGTCTCCTAATTTTTCTTTCAATGTCCAAAGTATACCTTAGCATTGACAATTTACCCTAAGGGTCACAATGCCTCTTCAGGATGGAGCTAGGGGCTCTCTTGTCCTCTCTAAGGCAGAGCAGTACACCACAGCACAAGGCATCCAATTTAAAGACTAATTGTAAAGAAAATTCTTTGGGGAAAAAATGAAAATCCATTAAGCTGAAAATCTAAAATTAGTTCTACTTTCTAATAAAAAATACATAAAAGTGCATCATCAGAATAAGGAGTTCTTATGCCAGTTTGTATTGCAAATTTTCCAAACAACGCATCACACATAAACCCAATCCGGATGTCAATTATGGATACAAACACAGCTTGAGGGTTTTGTTTTTCTTCCTTCTTAAAGGCAGTAATTTTTCTGAAATACTTAATAAACTGTTGCTAACACAGTAATAATTGTACTCCTGGCTTCACATACTAACCTGGACCTCTGAGCAAGTGCTGATGAACCCAAGTAAGGGAGGTCAACAAACCCTAAATCCACTGTCAGTCATGTCTAGTCTTGTACCATCCATTCTCCTTGTTTTTCTTTCTTTCTTTCTTTCTTTCTTTCTTTCTTTCTTTCTTTCTTTCTTTCTTTCTTTTTAAGCATCTGAAGACAACAGGTTGAGTTTAAGATACTGTTCATGGACCCTGAGGTGGTTTTACTGATGCATTCTCAGTTTTATTGAATTCTTAATAACAGGAATAGGATTTGCAGGGAGAGAAGGGATATCAGAAAGGTCTGTACTGGATGTTTTCTGAGAGGTCAACAGAGAAGCCGATGATGGAACAGTTTCTGATTGAATTGCACTCATCTCCATATCAAATTGTTCCTTTGTTTCTGTTTTATCATGTCCACTCAAATCAAGACAGTTAGCATCTTCACTTGTTTCATCCTCATCTGTTTTGGTTTTCTTAGGATTTTCTTCCTTATGGGGTGAGGATGTTCTATTGACTCCTGCTATAGGATTAAGTACTTTTGTTTCTGCATTTCCTGAGGGACTAGGTGATGGGTTTAGCATAAGTGTTGAGGAGACAACTCTGGAGACTGTAGGCTTTGGTGGCGGAGAAATGGCTGGCTGTGTGGCAGTTTGAGGAACGCTTTCGCTTGATTGATCCCCTGAGCTTTCACTGGAATTTGCTTGTGGCACAGAAACCTCAGAAGCCTGGATTCTGGTCACAGATACTGCGGTCACAGCTGGAGCAGGACTGTTTCTGCCCTGGGAGCTGCCAGAACTGTTCAATGGACTGGTCTTCATAGCACTAGTGAGTGAAGGCACACACATGCTATCCAAATTCTTTCCTAGGAGTGTAAAAAACCCATACATCCCATCACTCATGAAGACAAATGGCATCAGCTCTGATGTTACAAGGCTCTGATATAGCCCTGAACCAAGCCATAATGTCTTAAGTGTACCTTCATTTTCCAACAATTCTGCCATAGTAAACTGCTAAACCTGTTGAGTTACTCTGCAATATGTGATCAAAAATAAATGCACAAATCCAATTTGGTAATTCAATTAAATCACACACTAGCTAACTGTTGGGTCTGAGACAGTAGGCAGACCCTCATGTATAAAGTAGAGCAGAAGCAGAAACACTTACCTTGTTTAAACTCCTCAACCATGACCATCCGTGTTGAAACGGACACATTGTATGTGGAGTTCTGCTGTGGGTATGCTGGTGTAATTATAGCATAAGATGGTGTGAGATCACTGGGGTTTACCTACATACAACAACAGCCAATCAGTTTCTTCAAGTATATATACAACAGACACTTGGACTTTTACCCCTTGTTAAACTGAACCAATGATTACATTTTACTTCATTCATAGCTGTAGTTGAGAAATAAAAACCATGTCAGGAGACTGTTTTATAGAAACTTTTCACAGAATGAGAGATCTAGTCATAGTCTGTTCCCATGCTGGAGGCATGACTACCTTGCAACCTTATTGCATGTACCTGCTGGGCAAAAACAAAGCAAAACAAAGATGTAGTTGCAAATCTACTGCTTTTCCTTATTCAGCAGCATAAATGAGGGTGCCTGCAGAATTACACTTCTAAGTGTTCTTACTTATAAAACTCAATTTAAACAAGATGGGACTGACCTTCTAACCTTTCGGCGACAGAACCTTAAGCTTATTAACAAGGGTAGAACAGCTCTGGGCTGGTGAGACAATGGGCTATTATTTAGTGAGTACTCATCTGTACACTAAGTAGTTCAATCCCACAAAGGCAACAACTCACTCTTCCTAATGCCTTCAAGCTTAAGCAAATTGAAAGCACACAGCTTTGAGGCAGAGCCTGAATTAATTAAAAGACTCTGACATTGTAATAAATAAATGTATAAAAAAAACATAATCTCAAAAATCTGGAAAGTTTAGATTCAAAGATTTCCTTTTATCAATTAATAAAGCTTACGTTACTAACACCTATAAAGTATAAGCGGTAAATGCTGTCACTTCACATTTCTGTATCTCTGAAGCATCTTAACAGGTTTCTACAATTACAGCACAGTCACTGCAATAGTGCTTAGGAGCCATCTGCTACATAGAAACACTATGAAGAGCTTTCTACATCAAGCCAAATTTAACAAGATACTTAGATCAAATAAAAAAATATACAGGGATTTTTAGTATCCTTTTATTATTTTTTTAAGCACAAACACCCACACAACTTTGACTTACAAGATAGTTGTCTATGGAATGAGTTAGTGAAATCTGTGTCAACCATGTACATTAGATGTGGTTTACAAGGTCCATCATTACACTTCTCACACCAGGGGAATATAGAGAGCCGGTCATCTAGAACAAGGGTGCTATGAGTGAGTCCACTCATCTCTAAGGACTGGGCGGCCTCCTGGAAGTTTGTGCAGGTGACTTTTGTTATTGAACAGTGTGAATTTGTAGGGGAAAAAATAATACACTAACCCTTGGGTCCCACACAGGCAAATTAAGATTGCATTCTTCAGGCTGTTTCAATAGCACTGGATTTGGCCATTCCCTGTTCAAAAAGATTGTAGCACTTGATAAGACTACTGGACATTAGCATCTAAACGTAATTTGTTAAACATACAGCATTTGTGAATGTGACCCTACTTCATTCACTCAACCCACTTGGCATATACACCACAGCCTCTCATTCCTTTCCTCTATACTGTTCTACCAGAGCTGGTTCCAGGACAACCTCCAAAGCCACAGAGAAATCCTGTCTTAAGAAAGAAAGAAGAAGGAAAGGAAGAAAGAAAGAAAGGAAGGAAGGAAGAAAGGAAAGAAGGAGATCCTAAATCACTCAGTACAAATTCTAAGACAGTAGTATTTGGGTCAGTATTCACATAAATTTTGTAAACAGTCAAAAAGCATATTCTTGGAATAATGACTTAGGAAGTTCTATAACCACTTATGAAAAGGCAGTCTCACTATTCTGGGTATTTTTGCTGTTTTTTAATTTTTAAAACAAAGTGTGTCTCTATGTGGCCCTGGTTGGCTTTCAACATGTGTCAGACTTGATGCCTAAGTGTGGGGATTGCAGGTATTTAATTATCCTAGTCTAGTGTGTTTTGCTATCTTTCAATCATGGCCAGTAGCTTTCTCACCACTGTATTCTATAATGTGCACAAACAGTCTCTCCTGATGCAAAATTTTGGTAATTTCAAAGATAGAGGCAAAAAAATTTGAAAAATAATAAATGAAGCACATATTCACTTCAACGAGGCAGGAGCATGTTCAATAGAAAATTAGTGATACATTGTTTATTTTCAAATGCATTGCTTTTTGAATTTTTCTGGTACTAAAAAGGGACTGAAATTCCACAAATAATGTGAATTGTGGACAGTTCAGAATGCTTGAAAGAAGTGGTTGTGTTTGCAAATTGAAGCAATATGTAGAGCAGAGATAAGCATTTGGAGTTGTAGATAACAAAATCTAAGAACATTCCCTGGAAAAATAGTATAGAAATACTAAAGACTCTGCAAAACCTGAGGGATGCTCCGAATAATCATCAAAAAAAGGTCCATGTGCTGATGTCCAACTTTATAGTGGCTTTATGGCAGATGTTATTTGCTTGAGAAAAATGGGATTAGAAGGAGAAGCAGCCATTTACTCTAGTGCACAAAGATAAGAGAAAATGATTAAAAGTATCTAACAAAAATACAGGTAAATATTTATTCATGGATGTTTAGCATGTTGATGGAAGTCATTAAGAAACAATGCATTATTGGGACACATTAGTAAAATCTAGTAGCAATCTAATTTGTGCATGTGATCTAGTTTTATTTCCACAGCTTGACAAGTTTTCACACGTATTCAGGAAATATATGTTGAGGAAAGGCTTCCTATTTCTATGAAGACATATATTTTTATGGAACTGCAAACACATCCCTATAGTACTTTTGTGACATGATTAAAAATTACAGAGAGTAAGGAGAAAGGTGAAAGGTGGAAGGACAGAAATGTTCATGTAATAATATCTAACATATTACAAATTTTCAAGGATAGAATCTCCTTTGAACTTCTCTTAACAATTTAAAGAAAGTTTTATTATCTGTATATTATACAGAAACATATTCACAGAGATAGACTGCAAAAGTCAGAAGAGACTAAAAAGCCAACAGGTTTCTAATCCAGACCTCTTGAAAATCTTACAGAACAGTAAATAACAAAAACAAATGTTAATGGATAAAACCTTGATGAAAAATGCAATACAGTGCTGAATATTGGACACAAAGCCATATTCATAGAAATCTAAAGCAAGAAATTGATTCAATAGCTACACAATGGAGATAAGAAGAGGAGAAACTGGTAGTGTTTTCCAGTCCAATTCTCTAATACTTGAGCTATTGTCGTAGATTAAGCACAAACTATTCTGGACATAATAATGGTGTCAACCACATTACTCAGCAACTTCCTTCCACTCTCCTCCTAGCTATTAAGAGCAACAGAAACAATAACAAAACTCAGCAGAATGCATTGACTCTGAGCCCTATCCAAGGCGGAACCTGGACAAATGCCTACAGAAGGAAATAGTTATATAGTGCTCAATTCAATGAATCAGAAGAAAAGGCCAAAGCAGAAAGAGAAATTCAGCTTTGTACAAAGGGACAAAACAAAAATCACTGAAGGGGTGTGATGAGAGAGGTTAAAACAAAACTTATTTCACAGACTGGCTATAGAAAAAAGCAGTTTAAATACATGACTGTCCAACTAGACATTTGACATTTGCTTCTCACAAACCTGGTAATCAAATACCGGATTTTACACATGCTAAGCAAGTTCTCTGCCACCGATTTCTATTCCCTACCCTAATACTAATTTTATTAGTGCAGTTTTTTAGAAAATATTTTGTCATAATACTCTAGTAAGTACAGCAATTGAATAACCCAGGTAAACATAGGCTTCTTCTGAGGGAAAAATGTGACACAAAAAGGCAAAAAAATCTACTGTGTGCTTGAGAGAGATGACAGTATCAGTGTCCCAGCATACTGGAGACTTTCATCTAGCCTTTTATCCAGATACAGAAACTAAGACTCAAAAAGCTTCCATGATGCCATTCATTATTCCCATTAAAGGATTGTTGTCAAGAACAGAATGTTGGAAGAAATAGAGTTTCTGCTGTAAAGAACCATGGATATGGACTGAATTTAAAAACAAATCCAAAGATTCCTAATTCAAGTCTAGATACAAAAGCTCAGACTCCCAGAGCCAAGTCATCAGAGTATAAGCCTGCCAAGAGAAGCATTCTTTATGATGTCATGCACATAACAAAGGAAAAAAAATGATTAATTCTTCAACACAAAAAAAATCACAAAAGGGGAAAAAACACAGATTTTCAATTCATATGATCTAGTCTTAACTGTAAAAACAGGAACAGACAAGTTATTCTAATTGTGTTAATATCTTCTTGCTTCTCCTAATAAGTATATTTTTATTATTTATCATTAGAATAAAATTTT